ACATAAACAGTTTGAAAAATAAACACTGAAATAAATTTAAACACATTAAAAGATATGGTTTTGAATTTTGTTAGCCGTGGAAATACGTACTTGGTGAGTCTGCGAGTAAACTGCAGTCTGCAGGGTTTTCAGTCAACATTTTTTGAAAATAGACTAAGGTATTAACATTTTTTTTAACTAAATGAACAATGTATTTAAGATGGAATTCGGAATTAATCTAATATGTTCTTACAAAGGTATATTCGGGGTCTTAAGGTTTTCCTTTTATTCAAAAGTTTGTTAATCATATTTTTATATTCTCTTTTATCGCATGTATTTAAAAATCGACTGAATAACAGTTTCATCCACATATCGTAATTAAACCTTTTTTTTTTTTTAGATTATAGATTTCTTTTATTCATCTATTAAATCAGTCGAAAAAAATTAAAATATTTGAGAAATTTCAAATAAAAACAATTACCCGTTATGTGCCTCATCAACACCAAACATAAGTCATTACCAAAGTACAAACGATAGTGTATCATTTTTGCTACAAATGCACTTGATTTTAAACAATCAGCAAAATAGAGCGCGTCCGGCAAATGAAAAAAATCGAATTCTTAAGTAAAATTATAATTTAGCGTCTTCATTTTTGTATTTTCTAACAACAAAAAAAAAAAAAGACCGTTTCCCTCTATTCTTACATTTTCTTAGACCATTTTCCTCTATTCTTTATTTTGCCCGTTATACTTCATTCTTATTTTATATTTTTTACTTTATTTTCCCGTATCTATAACCTCTTTATTCGGAGCAACCCTAAATATACATATGCTACATAGGGTCTAAAGGTCATCGTTTGTGCCGTGATACACATGTTTGCATAACAAAGGATGTCCTTGTTCATATTTATAACATTTTTAATGTCCTCCTAATAATACATCTAATAGTTGCCACTGGACGTTAAACAGCTAACTATAAAATATATTTCCATTTTTGCCAGTAAGAAAGCTACATAGGAGAGGAAAAATCAGTGTCTTAGAAATACCTCTAGGCTCAGTTTTCCAATTTCTGTCAAAATGTGGTTTAATGCAAAAATGTAAGTCCTGAATACTGCATTTGAACCCATCAAGCATTTGGGATTAATAACAAATCTATTGTAGTCTCTTTTACTTTACTTTGCATACAGTAAAGATAAGAAGTAAACAAATACGTCTCCGAAGGATGTTGCTATTGATGATTTTTTAAAAGATGATACCGGTATATCTCTCTTAATAACGCGTGAACTTCCTGGAGGCTTCGATCTGTGGAACCCGTGTACACTAGCTCTGTCACGGACACGCTCGGGTATGTTGCGCCTCTTCGAAGTTCGGGCGTACACTAAAAAAAATGAATAGCTACGCAACCTTAGGTGTCTGTATCAATTTAGACTTCATCTTTCGTTTAAAATATATTCGTATTCGTACGTATGTCGGGGTTACGGCTATTCCATTCAATAGTTGTAGATCGAAAAAAAAAGATATTCTGGTTATATCTTTTTATAACTGCATGGGTCGTTATATAAAGAATATAACTGTTCAATTAAAATATACAACTTCCCGACTAGAAAACATGGGCAACCCAGTTACTAATATTCCTGCTTCTAACTAAACATGTCCCAAATTGTCGGAATCTTGTAGAGTACAACCATAACATTTGTCTTGTAAGGGTTAAAATCAATAAGCCAATCTTAAGACCATGCTACGATTTGTTCTAAATCACTATTTAAGACATTCTCTATTGTGTAAGGACTATTACTTGAATAAGAAAGGGATGTTTCATCAGCACACAATCGAGTTAGACTTATCAACTTACCAGTTATGTCATTTACATGAACAAGGAATAGTAGAGGACCCACTACAGAGCCTTGCGGAACTCCTGCATCAGTATTCTCAAAAGGTGAAACGCTTTTACTTCTATTTGAAATATAATTAATTAAGTGATTAAGACATTGTGCACGGTATTGGTGTCTCTTTGGAAATATACGATAGAAGGCGGGTTATTCAAATTCAAGCTGTTTTCCTATACAATGAATATCCATGTTCTGCATATCATTCGAAAGGAAATAAACCAAAGACATCGATAACACTGATGAGTTTGTGCTTTGTACATTATGTTATGAAAAACTCTGCTCATTTCGATGCCTATAACGTCATGTTCATGAAGGGTGTCCCGCTGTTGCAATTTTGTTTTGTGCGCGGCGTCATTAAAATCCTAAAGCGGATTAAATAGTAAGGAGAATTTTATATGATTTACAACTGTATTTTATACCTTTAACGTAAAATGGGGTTTTTGACGTTTTTTACGGTTAGAGAAGGAAGATCGTCAGAAGGTTTTAGAGAGGGAAGAGAAAACATGTCCAAATTAGTTAATCAACCCGTACACAAAATTTCTGCCTTCACTTTTATAAGATTTCACTATAGTAAACACATTGTATACCTTTGGCCATTGTCGATTTGTTATTACGCTAGAATGGCAACATGTCGACTTGGGAAGATAGTTTCCAAAATTTCTTAAAGAACTGTTATGGAATTCGCAAGATCTCGGTATCACTGCACTAAGAAGGTTAATTTTCACTCGAAAGCAAAAAGTGAAACTGCAAAGGATCGTGCACAGCCAAAACTTGCAAATGCAGAAAAGCTATGGTACCGTTACTACCGTGTGGAAATAAATTTTACCGTACGCAAAAATACAAGAATACAATTAACGATGAAAACTAACCGTATGGCATCAATATTTAATGTTTATGTAGCCTTTGGACTATAAAGTTTATTGTATAATTGAAACGGTTCTAATGCATATTTGAAAACATATCTATATGAACCAAATACTGATATGGTCTGGCCCGTTAATAACCGAACGAGTATATACTCATATGGTCCGACCATTCGCGTACGGTCGAACCATACGCGCATGGTCGGACCATATGAGTATACGCATATGATCATGACCATACGCGTACGGTCCAAATACTCATATGGTTTGGAACATTTACAACGATGCGTGAACAAAACAGACATAATAGGTAAATAGTCAAAATATGGGTACAGCAGTCATCACTGTGTCACAATCTCAAAACAAACAAATATTTAACAAAAAAGCACAAAAAGCATCTATCAAATTTAAAAACCACATACCTTGCTTCGCGTGTTTGACGTCATAAAATGTAAACGTCACATATAGAAATATAAAATAATTTTGCCGTTCAATGTTTTTTCAAAAAAATTTTAATTTCACATGGGGAATGTTGGTATACGGGGTTAAAAAATCAAAAATATGTAAGAATTAATTTCAGAAACAGACCGAGATTTAAAATTATCCAGAAGTTCTTTAGAATTGATAAGAATCCACATATGGTTAACACCCCTACGTGAGAAAAATAGACAACACTTATAAAAATTAAGGAAAAAACAGTTTTGATAAAAAGACATATTACTATGTATTTGATTGAGAGTTTAAACTTACAACTAAGCTTAAAGAGAGAAAAAAGACAAGACTATATTGCATGTACATATCTTTGTTAAAACTAGATGCGCCAAGGAACATGTGTCGCTCGCCTGATTTTTTTGTTTACAACTGATGCATGAGATAATGCAATTATTCTACTTTTGCTTTTTAAATTGCATTCTATTTTTAGCCATGTCGGCCATGTTGGTTGGCAAGCGGGGTCATCAGACACGTTTTTAAACTATATACCCTAATTATGATTGTGGCCATTGTCTCAGTAGTTTCAGAGAAGAATATTTTTGTAAAATATTACAAAAATGTACGAACAAATTGTTAAAAATTTACTTTAAAGGGCCATTACTCCTTACAGGGTCAATTAACCATTTTAATCATTTAAACCATTCATTTGTAGTTCTTACTATGCTGAACATTATTGCTGTTGACAGTTTATCTAGTTTAAACAATGTGTCCGATGACCCCGCTTGCCAACAAACATGGCCAACGTTTTTTAAACTAGATAACCTAGTCATGATTGTGGCCAAGTTTGGTTTAATTTGACCTAGTGGTTTCAGAGGAGAAGATTTTTGTAAAAGTTATCGGACGACGACGGACGACAGACGACGGATGCCAAGAGATGAGAAAAACTCATTTTGCACTCTGTGCAAGGTGAGCTGTAAAATGGGGAGCGAGATACCCCCTTTTAAAGGTGAATTAATACATATCCTCTAATATACATTATTCTTCGTTAACAAATATGATATTGCAATAATCTATTTGTACTTTAAGCCAGAATTCACCCTCCTTTTTTTTTTTTTTGCTTTTTGTAATGACATTGTCACTTTCTTTTTCGACTAATATGTTCGACTATCCTTTTGGCAAAACTTTTAGGAACATTCGATCCTTAATGCTCTTTAACTTCGTACTTTATTTGGCTTTTTTGAAATTTTTGCTTCGAGCGTCACTGATGAGTCTTTTAAAAACGAAACGTGCGTCTGGCACAAATATAAAATTTTAAGCCTGGTATCTTTGATGAGTTTATTTGGTATCTGTCGCCCCTATTATGCACTTAAACTAATGACGTTACAATATACAAACAATATAGTAAGAGGCTGTGTTGATTACAACGTCAACACATTTGTGGCGAAGAGAGGATACATCATGCAGACTATCGATTTTTTGAAACGATTACCAACCCATGTGCTAATTTTATTCTTAGAGTTTACTTCCTTATCTGGATGTACATAAAATGTCTAGTTTTGGTTAACATGCGTCAAACATTTTACCATCAACTACACCCATCAGTTATTTGAAGTATTTGATAATTGAAAAAAAGTGTACCTCTTTGTTTTGAATTATTTGAATACGGTATTATGATTTTTTTTGCCTTGTTCATTTGATATCTGTATGGCAACACAATGAAAACATGTACTATTGAATTTATACCCGCTTTTATTTAGAAAAAAATCACATATATTAATGATTCAAATACAAGTAAAAAATACCAATGAATATTCCCACAAAAATATCACCAAAAAAATGTAAAATGTAACTAATGTATATCCCACAAAATATCATCAAACGTTAAGAAACAAAAACGTCTATTCTCACACTTTACATATTTAATGTCATATACATTACAGGTGCAATGCTATGAAAGGTCAAGTTAAAACTTATCTAACCTAATGACTGAATTCAAAACATACAAGTAATAGTTAGGAAGTTCGCACTTGCGAGAAAGTAAACAACACAGATTGTATCTCAGATATCGAAAGTAAGAATTTCATACGAAAGCATATAATGAATTTTCCCACAATGATGATTATAAAATTTAAACCATTTAGAATTGTCCCTCCATTTTATATAAGAATGAAATTGATCCACTTTGTTTCCAGTTTTTCCAATCAAATTTGTCAATTCGTATTTGGTTCATGGCTTTCAATTTATGCTGTTTTTCCTGGAAGAAAGAATACATAAATCAATTTCATAAATTGTTGTGAATCATAAAATTATACTGTATTGTACTCTTATTCTATTAATGATATTACAGTCACTCGTTGTAAGGCATGATGAACTTCAAAATGCTTTTAAGTGTGTTAGCCATATAGTATGCATTTAGTGTGTTGTATAATGCAATCAAATTGTTTGTTTCTTATAAGTCAATCGCACACTGTCTGGCATTTGTGCTATTTCGACTAAGTGTGGATTCACATGTTGGGTGATATATCAATTTCGTAATAAATTCAAAATTAGAACATAATATTAACTGCAAAGATTCAATCATAAACTGTTGACACATCGATATGTGTATCGCCTGTAGGCATCAAAGTATGATGGACACCAACATTGCATATTATTTCAAAGTCACGTGACAGCTTGTGGACAGGGCCTAGACATGATTGAAACACTGGGATGTATAGACAGTAATGTAACTATATAAAAAATGTCATTGACTATTGTAAGCAGTTCCTATCAATCTAACTTTAGTAGAAAACTTAACATTGAACATTGTTGTATAATTCATAGTCGCCGAAGGACCTAGAAGACAAGGCCTCACAATAGTCGTCTCACTTATATGTACTAATAGCAATGCAACTTTGTATTATATATCAATCATCGATCACAAAGAGTTCCTAATAAACTTAGGCAGAAAACAATTGCTGACGCCATCGTTGCCGTCGCCAGAAAAAAAAAACAATCTCTTTTTCTCGCTTTCCGCGACTATGATCATAGGCGAGACAAGAATTGTAGGCACTATCGTTTGTCGGTTAAAAACTCATTAGAGCTTATGTTATGTCCTTGTTTGTATACCGACTCTAAATAAAGCTTATCTATTTATTTTATTTATTTATTTATGTACGGTTACCTGCAAAAAGTAACAACGAAACAATAATTATTGTTACTTCTGAGACTAATTCCCGAAATGTATTTCTGGACAGGAATCCAATTTCATACGAAAATTGCAGATAACAGTAAATTGATTTATTGTTATCAGCAGTTATAGTTACTCGCAAAATTTTACATTTGCAAGTTATGTCTTTTTAGTGTGTCTACTTTGTACTGTATTCGTGTCATTGCCCCGTATTCTTCGGTTTACATATTTGAAACAAATATTATATGAATATAAATTATTTAATGGGCATAGCAAAGATAAATTAAACACTTATACATAATAAAGTATTATAGCTATTTATTTTGTTGGCAATTTTGGCACATCCAGTATATAACCTGAGTTGACAATTTGAGGCCAACACATTTTAAGTGGTACGACTCCAAATACCCGTTGCACACAATATATTCATTAAGATGGACTCCAATATCACACACTAAGCAGTTTTACTCTGCTATGTTCTTCTTCTGCATTTTTCATGACTCATTGGGAATTTATTCTTTGATTTATTTCGAATAATGTTCTTGTCGAGCAATTTCGTAGGCAATTTCACAAATGGAAAATATTATTCCTCTGAAGTTATGGTCATAACTTCTTCTTTATTATTGAACAGAATTTGTATGCTGGAATGGTTGATTTTTTTTATTAATTTTTTTCACTGACCACAAATTGAGCATTTTGCTCATTCGAATCTATACTCATGAATAGTAAACTACTTTACACGACCACCCTATGGCAAATATGAACGTCATATTTGTCAATTTATCTGGAGGTTTAATCATGTAAATGGATATAGGAAGATGTGGTATGAGTGCCAATGAGACAACTCTCCATCCAAGTTATGATTCATAAAAGTAAACCAGTATAGGTCAAGGTACGGCCTTCAACACGGAGCCTTGGCTCGCACCGAACAGCAAGCTATAAAGGGCCCCAAAAATTACTAGTGTAAAACCATTCAAACGGGAAATTCAACGGTCTAATCTATTTATGAACAAGAAACGAGAAACACGAATGCACTACATAAACAGACAACAACCACTGTACATCAGATTCCTGACTTAGGACAGGTGCAAACATTTGCAGGTACATCGTAATTTAATTGTTTAGGTTTATGTCATAGATTGCTCGTAAATCAGGCTTTTTTTTTAGTCTAGCGCCTACCTGGATATATTTTGCTATTGACAATAACTTCAGGTAACAATAACAAACTAATAGTATGTTATTGTTACATGCAATTTCCGTATGAAATAGGGTCCCACTTGAAAACACATTTCAGCAATTAGTTTCGAAAATAATAATAATTATTTCTTATTGTTATTTTTTGCGGGTACCTGTAGCAAGTGCCAAATTTGATTAATGTCGAACATAATTTCTGTTTGTCATAATGAATGCAAAGAATATAGGGGAAATTTACCTGATTTATTGTCCAATTGGTCTTTTCTTTGAACGATGGCATGATGCTGAAAAAGATGAACAATATACATACGGTGAAACTTTTATAGACGAATCCTGACTATCAGTAATTGCTTTATGTCATATTAAACTGTTTTACTTATTTGGAAAGTAATGGCATATCCTTGATTGTTTTTATTAAATCTCTAGACAACTTAACCGCACTTGGAATGATAAAAACCGTAAAATGATATATGGATACATGTCTAGTGAGGAAGACTGAATGTATGTTAAAACACTGTAGCTATGTTATGGTTTATTTTTGTTTTGGGGTTGCTAAAATGGATTAATAAATACTTTTCAGAATAACAGTATTAAGGTATTGTTTTAGCTAAAATCAGCTTTAGCGTTGAAAAATAGATGTGTACAATTGGGTCGATGACGTCACTCTAGTTATCAGCACTTTCATGTTGACATGATATATAATTAATTTGTTCCTTTTCTGTCAATTTATGTGTCAATGAAATAACTAAAATAGTTGCTTTTAAATCACTCTTTGAGTAGTAAATTTAGAATTTTGTGATTTTGTATTTTACCAAAATTTTAAACACATAGGTTTAGATTATATCTTAATATTAGTAAACATTGAATGAAATTGAACTTTTGCTTCTTTGGAGTAGCAAGGTTTATGACTTTATGCAATCATTCATATGTTAATTCTTAATATTTTGAGAAAAATGCTTCAATGAAGGCTTAACAAAATGATCTAGTACTTTCCTAACATATTTTCCCCAGAGATGGTAGTATTTTTCCTGTAAAATTCAAGGTTTTAGCTTTGAGATTATGTTATTAAATTGTACTGTTCGATATATATAGATTATACCACTGCATCGAGTTGATCTGATATCAATTCAATAAAGACAGTTGTTTCTTTCTAATTTAAAACGCGAGGCTTGCCAAGCGTTCTTAACATTTAAAATTGAACTGTCGAGAATAGATAAATATCGTATTGCACGATATTTGGTGGTGGAATATGTTTCTCTAATGATTTTTAGATGAAATGCAGACAATCTTAATTCTTCTGTTTGAACGACTTGCAAAAAGGTGTGTTCTTTATCGTGAGCTCATCAGACATGGTCGCCTTTTGTTCATGACGTCACAATAAGAATTTAAGAGGAAAGCAATAAACTTTGAAGTCAAAATCGAATTTTGACCAATGAAGAACTTAGATCAAACGAGCCACACGTTGCTTAGATAAAAATTATCAACAGGTTTTTGATTGCATTAACCGCATTTGGTAATTTACTGAATTTTTTGTTATGCCCTTTACCATTTATTTGCTCTGGCCTCGAAACTGATTTCATTCAAACGCTGTAGACGAGTCTTACGGGTACGCAGAAGAAACACTCGTATGACGAAATAGCCTTACATCCTCGATGATTTTTTTATTCTGATTTCACAGAATACAGTGATAGATTTAACAGTTTTTCATAAATTCTAAAGAGAAGTGTTCCGTTCCGGTTAACAATTGAATTATAAGGTAATGTTGATTTTAATCTGATGTATCTAAAGAATTTACCTGGACATTTTCCTAAGTTGCAAAGTGATGTTTCAGTTTCGGAACCAACACATTTCAGTCCATCGTCGGACGGTGGGGGATTGTCACATGTTCTGGTGCTGATTATAACACCATTGAACAAGTATCCACTATCAGCAGTCTGTTTGGTTCATATCTTGTAACCTGCAACCTCAATTTTACATTTATTATTCCTACAAAACAATCATTCGACCTCATTTGAATAGTTATGCATGCCCCATACTCATAGTTTGACTTTTACTTGTTTAGAAATTATTTAATTCTTTAAAAATTAGTGCATAACATTGGTCTTACGGTTTCTTCCCTCGTTTCACCTTTCCTTTTCAAGCAATCACACGAACTTTTGTAATTTGGATATAGATTTGTGCATGGTATATATATAATACGACAGTTCGAGGCAATTTAGATAACTTGAATTTACAGGAATTGTCCTTTTAATTATAATCAGAAGTAGTTCAATTCTCATCAATTGGTACAGAAGAAACAAATCATCATAACATACAATAACTGAAATAATTGTCCGATATCAAAAAAGGAGCGAAATTGCGTGTGTTAACTGATTAAGAGTAATTTACAATTGCATATGAGTTCCCTTTAGAAAGGTGTCTGCTTTACACTATAAAATGTTACTACGAATGCTGGTAATAATGTTGATAATAATTACAATAATGCTAATTTTCCTAACTATGACATATGTATAAACTATAAACTGTCTGTTAAATTTGTTTTATACAATGCATGTTATATAACACATGTACTACGACATGTCCTAGTTAAACTACACTGACCACAAAAAAGTTTGATGAACATTTTATTATATCGTACGCTGAATTTACTCCAAAATGGTTAGCATTTTTTTTTTTTTTTTTTGGGGGGGGTCACTTTTATGTTTACAAATTAGTTAACCATTTTTCCTCCTCAGGAATACTCATATTTTTATAGGGAATAATCATGTGGTAATGAAAATGAACTATTGTAGGGAAGCAAATAGGGATTTCCGTTTCCATAATTTTAGTAACATGTGTTTATGCTATTGTAAAACATTAGATATTATTTTATTTTGTAGCCATTTTTGAAATGATAAAGAAACTAAAGTTTCAACTCCCTAAGGCAAAGTTTACTTTAGATTGATTTGGCTATTGTTTGTGTCAGTTTTTGCTTATATAGCTCAATAACTGTTTCGGTTCCTTTTTATTCTTGGCTTTCAACAATTAAGAGATAACTGTATTGTATTTAAAGCTTTGCGGACGTCCATCGGTAGTTTTACTGTCGCAAATTTAGTTTACCAGGCGACGCGTAGCGGAGACAGGTAAACGGGTATTTGCGACAGTCAAACTACCGATGGACGTCCGCAAAGCTCAAATACAATACAGTTATCTCTATTCTAATGCAAAACAAGTACATAATTCAATTTCAATCATCATTTCAGTGTAAAATTTTCATTAAAGAAAATTCCGCGAAAAGATGTTATCTTCTTTGGCCCCAAACTAGGTGACGTCATAGGTATGCTTCCGGCGTCAAACGTAAACACCGGGCGATTTCTGGCTTCTTGACCGCTTCAGAATGTAATAAAATTTGATAAAAAGAAGATTTCTAGGTGCAACATGTGAGTTTTTTGCTAATTATTGTAGAAATTACATGTCAATACATTTCGCAATTCAAAATGTCGGCTTCCTTAGTTACAGACAAGGAGATAGAGAATTGTACGCTTACTGTCATCCAATCAGAACCGTTGATACAAAATAATTGCATTAGAATTTCGGCTTTGAGTGTTCTTGATGAAGTAAAATCCATAAAAAAAACGTTCCAAATGCATGAGATTTTTAAGTTTATATTTTCATTATTTTTTCTTTAATTTAAACGTAAGAATGCGCACTGATTTTGACAACTTTTTTCCTATTTAAACAGTATTTGTAATTATTTTCGTGAACTGTGTATTTCAAACATGTTCGCGGGTATTACATTTTGCGATTTATTTCTCAAAATTAAAATTAAAAAATCAATTAAGAGTTATAAGTATTCTCTGGTTTGTCAATATGAAGTGCATAAAAGTAAATACGTAAATAGCCGTTGGGAAAACTGTTGGTTGTAAGATTACCAGTATTATTGAACTGATTTGAATTTCAATTCATTCGTTTGTCATTCTTCATTGGAGAATGCGAAGGATTAAAGTTTAAAACACTATAACTATAATTTTGTTTGTTATCAAATGAGTACTGTAAAGCTTTTAAAAACATTGTCATATACTATACACACATGTTTTTAAATCAATCGATAACAGCTACAATATACATTTATATGGTGAAAATAAATACACACTAATTCAAATTCAACCTTTCAACTATAAACTAATTGTTCATCTATGAAATGATCAACGATAATCTATGATTATTTATTAAGATATATTTTAAACTGCTTACCTGGAATAATGCAAGTGGTCGTGTTAAAACTGTGAATATCTATGGTGGTATTTATAGCAGTACATGTTCCTTCATAAGTCAGCTGCGTTTGATTTAATGCCCAGTCTTTAAAATCGATCAAAAGGCAGCATATGAATTGGTTTCTGTTCATATTCCTTAAATATTAAATTCAATATAAAGTTAATCCCTATTTCATGTACATAATCATATGATCATAGATAGAGCTTTAAATTAGACATTTCGTAAGACATTTTATAACACAAGAGGAACGACTGTCCTACAAAACAATTACTCACAACACACATAATTCAAACTTATTTTGAAATTATCCTGTTAAGTTCTATAAGAAAATCAATAATCATGAATGCATATCTGAATTTGGACATTGATGCTTTAACTACCAAAAAATACCAAATGTCGTTCTTTGTGTATTCAAAAGATACATGAAGTTTTCATCAAACTGATTTTGCTTTGAACAGCAATATCAAATTACTGAACGACAATAACAGTTAAATAAAAATAAATGTACGTAAACAATAATACAATGGTGGACCTGCTGAGATGATTACAAACAAGAATAATTTGAAGAACATCAGTTACGTAGGTGCATGATTAGATATACAATGCAACCTGTCATATGATAAGATACACACTGATACTCAAATTACCAAAGGTTTCAAAAAAGTATAACAAAAACACTGAACTACAAGTCAAATTCAAAAAGGGGAAGTCCATATAAAGTCTGAAATAAGAATCAACCACACTTACTTATGTAAAATAGTCGAAGCTTTGTGTTCGATGAGAACAGACCAACTTGTAAACATACTTCAAGTTAAGAACGTGATTAATCAAGACAATAATACTCAAATTACCAACAGGAATTCTAAATTATATTTTGAAATATTAAATAACATCAACAGTTTAATAAGCATGTAAGAAGGAGATTTGCAGAGACAATAAAATGGTGACGAACCTGCAAAACCATTGGCACAAAAGTATATGAAAAACACCGGATACAGATGAACAATGCTAAAAATACCACAGAATATTAAAGATCAATTTCACTTACTAATATGAACTAAATAATAGTCAACGACTTTTCCCACGAGATCATATATATTATATAAAATATAATCTAAAATGAAGTATGAGATGAGCATAAGTCATACTTACAATGTTATAAGATTCGTGTTCAAATACAGATCTTTTGGTAAAGTTTTTAAGTTGTTAGAGTCTAGATACCTGGAAGAAAAGCAATTATTATGATTATGTGAGAACATGAGACATTAAAACACTGATACTAAACTTATCAAAGCTTACCAAATTCGATCTCCGTATTCAATAGATAACAGATATTTTTTTTTTACACTAACAGTGATGATGCATTTTGTAAACATTTCAACAACAACCTATAAATATTGAGCGACATTAAAAGCAATGTTGGTATACAAAACGAAAGTTTGCGAACACATTGAAATGATGGTAGACCGTCCAAGATATTGATACACAAGCATATGGAGGAACATCAGTTATATAAGTACGTGATTATATAAACAAAACAATCTTCAATAGTTCAAAACAATAAAGTCTGTGATAAGCGTTATTCATAATTAAAATTCTTGCAACATAGTATCAATTATAACAGACTATCTGGTTAACTTACTTAGTTGTCATTGGCTACAATTTTGAAATACAATCAATCATCTTGATTATGTAAAAAATATTTAATCAAGACAATAATACTTAAATTACCAAAAGGAATTCTAAGAGTATTGCTTTTATTTTGAATATCATTAAAAGTTAAATAAGCAAGTAAGAAGGAAGTTTTTGTAGATACTAGAAAGGTAATAATTCTTGTAACTTAGTATTCGATGATAAAAGACTATCTGGAAACCTTACATAATGGCACAGACGAATATTAAGGAACTAAGTGTACATATGAACGAGGTAGGTCGATGCCACTGCTGGTGGACGTTTCGTTCCCGAGGGAATCACCAGCCAAGTAGTCAGCATTTCGGTGTTTACCTGAATGTCAATTGTATGGTAATTTTTATAAATTTCCTGTTACAAAACTTTTTTTTAATTTTTCGAAAAACTAAGGAATAGATTACCTTAGACGTAATTGGCACAACTTTTTGGAATTGTGGGTCTTCAATGCTCTTCAACTTTGTACTTGTTTGGCTTTAACACTATTTTGATCTGAGCGTCACTGATAGTCTTATGTAGACGAAACGCGCGTCTGGCGTAATAAATAATAATCCTGGTACCTTTGATAACTAATCAAACATTCAACACACTATCACTTAAGTTTAAGTCTGATATAAATATAAACTACACTTACACAAATCTAAGGTCTGTGTTGAATGTAAACATACCTTCTGGTAAACTTATTAGCATGTTATTCTCTAACTCTCTGAAAGAAAATCAAGTATCATGATTACGTAATAACATGTTACATTTAAGCACCTATACTAAACTTACCATAGATAACCAATTTGATCTTTTTGTTTTCAATAAGTTTAGAACAGTGATAAACCTGCTGAGCTATTGTCACGCACTTATATTACAAGCTCTTTTATATAGAAACCTGATTAAAAATCCAATATGATCTTTTAATAAGATTAAATCTGACATATTGAATATTTGTGTGCAACAAGTTAAATGTTAACT